GATATGCATACAAAACTAGGCTACGTAACCTTGAAACATGAATTCCAGTGCATGGAGCATTGGGGACACCAGCATCCTCTTTCCGTTCACTTCAGCACCAGGTCACAACCCAAATTCCGGAATGTGGCCATTTGCCTAATTCCCCGTGACAGCTCCAGTGTTGATGCTGTGCTCCCCACGCTGGACGCTGTCAGCCTCTTTCCTGCCTGCCCTACAGAGCTCGCTCTCCTTGTCTGACCACACACACGAGCACATGGCAAATCCCATCTGCATCAATGTGAGGCTAACCGCACCGTATTAATGAAACAGCTCCCTTTGTCTTCCTTTATCTTGAATCACTACTGCTGCTTGAGTCACTTGAAATTTCTCACCCTTTTGCTCGTCTCTCCGCATCCGTTCACCCGTGTCACGTGCACCTGTGTCGCTCGGCCGTGCTCTGTCAGTGGGCAGCCTCGGTGTAATTTGGCCCACAGGGGCTGTTTGGCAGTAGGCGTGAGGCTAAAGGGAACAGCCATGCTCTAAGCAGGCTTAGTGCAACGCGTTGGATGGAGGGCCCAGCCAGCACACAGGAAAAGCATTAAATAAACATTAATGGAACTGGGTTGAAGAGATTTATTTCGGAGGCTTCTGGCCCCACTGTTCATTTTTTTATGCAGCACTTTTAAAAACTTGCTAATTCATATAGGTAGCAAGAGCCGGTGCGTTGGTAGCACGCCGGCGTCACAGTGCAGTTTCGATTCCGGCTCCGGAATTCCTGTGTGCGGTTTGCATGTTCTCTCCATTCCCACGTGGGTTTTCTCCGTGTACTCCGGTTTCCTCCCACATCCCAAAAACATGCGTGGCAGGTCAATGAAAAACTAGTTGTGATTTTGAGCGCAAATGGTTGTTCGTCTATGCATGCCCTGTGATTGGCTTGACACCAGTTCAGGGTGTGCCCCGCCTGTTGCCCCAAGATGGCTGGGATAGGCTGCAGCATGACCCTGACCCTTGTGAGGATAAGATGATTAGCAAATGGATGGATGGATGAATAGATCATATGACTCGTACTGATTTAATATACATACATTTATGCGAAGTTAAAGGCTCACAGTCATACTGTGTGTGTGTGTGTGTGTGTGTGTGTGTGTGTGTGTGTGTGTGTGTGTGTGTGTGTGTGTGTGTGTGTGTGTGGCTGTGTGAGAGACAATGATATCTTTGGTGTGGAAATACAAGAAGCCGAGGCAGCCTCAGTCCACTCGGACCCTCATGGGACGAATACTGTACGACCGTGTACGCATGTGTGTGTATGGTGTGAGGCTGGAATATGTAGTCAACATTCCGAGAAGGAGAAGAAAAATAAAGAGCTAGGGGCCATAAACAGCAAAAAATGAAGCACTGCCTCTATTGATGATGTGTTTGTGACCTGAACACGTAGTCTTAGTCAGGGATGGGTAACTGGCAGCCCCTGACCACACTCTGAGTGGCCCTTGATGACTTGAAAGTAAATGAATAAATATACAAGCATTGATTTATGTTTTTTACAAATCCCCCATAATTCTTCCAATAACACTGCTAAGGTTTTATTATACGTTTCTACAAAAACTGGGAAATTGGGGAAAACAATTGGAATGAAAGAAAAAAGGAAATTCCCAAAATATTTTAAAATACTGAAAAAAAATATGAATATGTGAATCTGCGGATGAGGTGCAATTGTGCAGGGGTCGTCTGTATATTCAAGTTGTAATGTCACCATTCACCACTAGATGGCAGACATGGCTTAGTTGAACTTACACCAGGTTTATGACTGAACTATTCTACAATGTGCAGGACAAACACACTACCTCAATAATATTAAAATATTGCGTGAGATGATTTTTGTGGAAAAAAAAGTACAATACGTGTTGGTTTGCTGTTTTGCAGTTTTGTGCCATCCTTGATTGGTCTTTTTTTTTTTTTGCAAGAGAGCCCGTTGCACTGGAAAAACAAAGTCCTATTTTGTGGTTATTTTGTTGTTTGCTTCAAAACCTTTATTTTTGGGTTAGGATAGCAGATTTTTTTATATATGCATTGAGAATAGTATTTTCAAAAATTAAATATATCAAGAGCACATATTTCCCACATATGCACATATTTTTGGCCATATTTAAAAAAAAAAAAAAAAAAAAACATTTCTCTCTGGTTAGGAATTGTGTGGTCCTATATTGCACCAGTGAAGAATTGTAGCCATCTCTGGCTTGTAAGTTTCCCATCCATCCCTGGTCCAAGTCAGTGGCACTCAATAATGCATATATTAATAATATAATACACACAAATTATACCCGTATAGAACTAAATAATTCCTGTTATATACTGTGTTAAAATATGTTTAGTTCTCGCAAATTCACAACTGACATGGCAATTTTTGTATAGGGGCTATCTTACCACTCCCTAATTGTGGGTATCTGCGTGTTGGAATGCATGAGAAAATCCAGAAGATCCCTTGTGTACTTTTTGCAACCATTAACCCCCCCCCCCCCCCACGAGTTGCGCCAGCATCTCCCCGCCCACTG